TATATATATATATATATATATATATATATATATATATATATATATATATAAAATTATAGTTGACATTCACTATTACTCAGCTTCAGCTTCAGGTGTACAGTGTAATGATCAGGCATCTACACAGTCCATGAAGTTGTCTCCCTAATAAGAAAAGTGTCCATCAGATACCCTACAAAATCTTTACAACATTATTAATTATATTTCCCAAACTGTCTTTCATAATCTCATGGTTACCAATCATGCTTTCTAAACCCCTCACCTTCTCCCTCATCCCCATCCCTCTCCCAACTAGCAACCCTCAGTTTTTTCTCTATATCTTTGAGACTATTTCTGTTTACGTTGCTCATTTATTCTATTCTTTAGATTCCACATATAAGTGAGATCATATGGTATTTGTCTTTTTCCGTCTAATTTCACTTAGCATAATGTTGTCTAGGTCCATCCATATCATTGCAAATGGTAAGATTTCATTCTTCTTTATGAACAAGTGATACTCCATTATAGTTACCTGCCCTTCCTAGGTCTTAGACAGGATGACAGCGACCATCAGGTTTTTCTTAAATATTCAAGAATGTCTTACATTAAAGATTCCACCTCTTTCTCAGGCCCATGTTTCTCCCTCACAATTGGTCTAAGACGGAGCACTTGTACACACTGATTTTCTCCTCAAGCCAATGGGATGGCTTAGCCTCTTCTGCATGTCTTCCTCTGTCTTGCATCTTCCCAAAGTAGAAGAGTCTAATCCCTCAGCCCAACGTCAGCTCAGCAATATTAATCATTTCTGTCATAGCTTGTTTGGCTTGACTATATCAGGAGCAATATTTACCTAATATGTCCCAATCTTATTATCTGGAAAGCTCAACACAAAGCAGTGTGTTAACCAGGAACTAGAAAATCAAGTGAAGGCAGGAAGTGCTTTCTGTTCAGAAACAAAGAAAGAGATGGCTGCATCAGCACAGAAGATCTAATTCGGGGCAAAAAAAAAAATGTATTCAAATTATTTAAACATGCGTCGTGCTTTGCTTCTGGGTCAGCTTTGTCGATGTTGCCTACAAAGCTATGATATGAGACAAAATGGTGAAAGAGAGAAAAACGGCCCCTGCAGTGTTTCCTGGAGAACGCTTTCTTCTGAGTAGGGCTGGTGGTAGATTGTGGATTATGCAATCAGGCAAGGTGGGCAATGCAGAGGGGAAGGGGGAAGGAAATTGCTGCAGCACAGCTGTGGACCTCAGGGAAACATTAGCCTCAGACAGGAATTAGATCTAGAGAGGTCTTTTGGATAGAAGTACACAGGCTCACAGAGGTCTCTGGGCAGTGGGCCAAACACATCTGTGTTTGGGGTGTCTTCATGCCAAGCACTGGCCAGGCTCCAGTGGGATAGGATGTGCTCCTGCTACCCGATTCACAGATGAGTCAGGAAGAAGACACTAATAGAAGTGTCTAAGACACACCAGGCTGAGGGAAGTCCTAACTGTCATCTGAAGGAAGACATCTGGAGGCATACAAGGAGAGACCACTCATACAACACCCCTGGCATTAGCACCCAGCAGGAAGGGCTTAGTGGCATAACAGAAATAGGAGGTAGAGAAAAGATGTTGCCATATTAGGTCATCTCTACACACACACACACACACACACACACACACACACACACACACACTTCTTTAATTCTTTAAGCAAAATTGACAAATCACAGTGTTTTTTAGTATAATTTGATCATAAGGTTACTTTAAAATGGTTGGTTTTCTATGTGCAAAATCAAACAAATACCTGGTTTAAAAGAAACTCCCTGAATAAAATGAGGAAAAAACCGATGACCTGGAAAAATAAATATGAAAACATACCACTCCCAAATGAATTAATGTTTGCCTCACTTCTGTCCAGGTTAAAAAAGAAGTCGGTAACGTGACCCTTCTCATTAACAATGCTGGAATTGTGACGGGAAAGCTGTTTCTCAACATCCCAGATGACATGGTGGAAAGATCATTTCTTATAAATGCCTTGTCTCATTTCTGGGTAAATCTGCATCCTTTTTCATTTTCTTTTCTTGATGAGTATGAAAACTCCATGTATTTTTGTAAACATCTGTTCAGCCGTTTATCCGTAAATATATCATTTGTGAGTTTCGCGTTGATAAGCTAATGACCTCTCATCCTGTCCAGGTTTCACCTTGACACACACTCAGGCTAGTTTTTCCTGTTCTTGCCCTTTTCCAAACTCTCAGGGTAGGGCTTTTCCCTGCACTCTCTCTCGTTTGGTCCGAAGACATGCTAAGCTATTCCGAAATCTTCCTACCAAAATACAAACAGAATGTGACAGCCATTACACAAAATAAATTTAATTTGTTCATGAGTGACAGAGGAGCTTGTGCAGAAAGAAAGTGGCTATTTTTAGAGTGGTGGTTTATTATGTTCATGCACGATTGGGCATCATAACAAAGGAAATAAGCTCTAACTGGATGCCAGGCACTTCTCTAAGTTCTTTTCTTGCACATGGTAGCCATGGTGCCATTTTCATTCTGATTTTACACATAAGGAAACTGAGGCTCAAAAGGTTTAAATGACTTACCCAAGGCCCTGCAACTGCTAAGTGATAGCCCAAGCTTTCAGAAGAAGAAGCAAGAGAGAAGGGAAAGCCTCTTCACATAAGAAGAAGAATTAGAAAAATATATAGCTCAGGGTTCCTTCCTTCAGGTCTACAGTATCTAGACCAGCACTGTTGTGTAGAACTGTGATAAAGGAGATATTCTTTTTTTATGCTTTCAATATGGCAGCCTCCAGTCAACCATGATCATTGAGCACTTGCAATATGGTTGAGGGGACTGAGGAACAAAACTCTTAATTTTACGTAACTTAATTCACATAAATGCATATTTAAATAGCCACATATGTCTAGAGGCTACCATCTACAATGCAACTCTGGAAGATGGATAGGAGGGTGAAGGAGACTTGTGTTGAGTTTCCACCAAGAGGGCTTATACTTGAAGCTATGAGAAAATGAACAGGCACCAGTAGGGGTGGGGCATGCAGGAAGCACAGGTGGCTGGGGAATGAAGAGAGAGGCAGGGCTTCAGTACTCTGTGCTTCCAAGCAGAGGCCTTAGAACGGTTTGCTTTAGGTTTCCCAGGCTCCTCCTTTTTTCCACTCAATGTTTCTATAGCTACTCTCTGAGGCCCTCAGAACTATTTCCTTGATCTTCTTTCTTGGTCACTGGAAAGCCCCACAGGAGACGAACAAATCTTTTTTAACCAATACTTAGTGAGCACCTAGCACAGTGCTTGACATACAATAGGTGTTCCATAAAACTTTGCGAAATTCACTGATTTCTTTCCCTCTCCCACCCCACCTCAAAACTTCTTTGGGGAAAGGGAAATACTACCTTGGCAAATAACGCTAGGGACACCACATCTAATCACACCACAAATCTAGAAGCCATACTTGATTCCGCCATTGCCCTAATGCCAACATCCTTGGCTCTCCCTACAAAACATGCTCAAGCGCACTCATTTCTCTCCTTCTTTGCTGCTAGTCCTGGTCCAAAACATTGTTACCTCTTGTGAGCAGCTCAACATGGCCTTCCATCCTCAACACTGGTGTCTTCTCACCTGTCTTCAGATGGGAACAAGGTGATCGTTCACCAAATCCTCTCACTTTACTGTTCAAAAATGTTCAGAGCATTCCAAAGGCACTTGGAATAACATACAGTTACCTAACAAGGCCTGTAAGCCCCTATGTGATGTGGTAATAGCCTCCTTCGTCTGTCGCCCACCTCTCACTTTCTCTACTTTCTGCTCGCTTTCCATATTCCAAGTATTCTGAGAAGACCCTACGGCACATCAAGCTCTTTCCGATATGAGGGTCTTTATACAAGCTGTTCTTTCTGACAAACATATTCTTTCTCCTGCCTCTTATGTGGTGGCTCCTTCTCATCCCTCGGGCCTCATGGTCTCTTAACTTGTACCTTGATATTGTGTATTTTAATCTGTTTGGCTTGATTCATTTACATAGTTGCAGTAAAAGGTGTTAATAAACACACATAGCCTTTTTGCTGAAGGTCAACAAATCTTGAGAGAGATGATGATGAGCAACCACTAAAACCAGAGAATAAACTTCCATCTGAAGATTTTGGAAAGAATCTTCATTCACCTCCCAAAGATTTTTTAAAATTATTTTTAATGCTCTTATTAGCTCATGTGTTCCAAGGCTAAGGAACCAAAACCGAAAAATATCTCCACCAAGTTTTGCCTGTAGTATTTCTAAATATGACAGATTTTATTTGTTTTTGAGGTCCCTCAATTCTGCCAAGGTTTCTGGCCTGCTAGGAAATGACCTTCCTTAATACCTGTAAAGCTGGGAGGGACCCTGTAAGCCACAGAACAGTTATCAGCCCAGCTTCCTGGAAAGGTAGCTTAGTAAGCATTTGTTCCACATATGAACTCTAAGCCCTATATCCTTAAAATGTGGTCTTGCCGTACATGATTAAATAAAACATATTCTTATATATGACACACTTGTGCTCTGGTTGTACTAACAATCTCTTCAATTATATCCTGGTGAGAATAAGGCCTGATTCTTATTGAACTTATAAAAATGAGTACATGGCCACGAAAGACGAAGGACCCCAGTAAGGCATTGTAATAGAATCTGCTTACTGCCCTAAGTAGATTGTGGACAGGAAAATTAATATTTTTCATGTTATGTATAAAAATGGCTTGATTGTTTATGAATTTATGGCAGTTAGGATAAGTCAATGACTTTCCATATAGTTGTCTAAGCTTAATCCATTATGAAGATATTCATCTGAAATCCAAGTTCAGAATGAAATCACCACCATCCTCACATTCCTCTGAGGATTTGTTAGTTTATAATCTACACTAAGTTTCCCCATAAGATACTTTTCCAGAATTTTGAAAGTAATGGTTGGAATGAGGTACCTTTCAGAGAGTTTCATTGCAGCTTGCATAAGTATAGCTTCCCCAAATTGAAGATTAAAAACAGATCACCAAGGAAAAAGACTTCTTCATATGACCATGAGAAAATAGAACACTGAGCACGTTTAAATGTTCCTCATTGATTCCATAATCCAGCCCTATATAATTATTTCTGTTCTGCTGGATTCTGGTCAGAGTCTGCTTTCATGCTGTCAATGGCTTCTGGTATAAAGAGGCCCTAGGCACCTGACTCAGCCCCTATTGAGGATCCCCTCACAGTGGCAATGTCAGCTCACACCAGGAAGCCTTTACCAATGAGTCGACTGCTTGGCACAGTCCTTTCCAGTGTGACTTTTAGAGTGTCCTGCTGTACTGTGTCTTCCACAGACACAATTTCTGGCCGGTTACACCAGCTCCTTCAGACATCATGAGGGGAGTCCAGAAACTTCCTATTGAGGACAAATCTAAATGGATTAGATGAATTTATTTCCGTAACTAGAAATATCAATTGTTGAAAGTAGAAACGTCTTATAGAGGTGTAATACATTACTATTTCATACAGATTTGGTTAATCATTTCAGTGAGAGCTCTGACAAATCACCAAAGCCCTTCTCTCCACTCTGGCAAGTGTACAATTTCTGATGGAGCATATTTGTGTTAGTAAATTTACTCGGGAAAGGTTGACTTTCTCTTTTTACCTGACAACTTTCCCCACATTTCCTTAGGGCAGTTCCTAACACAGGGCTCAGCTAATGAAGAAACGTGGTACATACCAAATAGACCTCATTGTTCCTAGCATCCCTGTTGCTACTGATTGCCATTTCATAGATTTCAGCTGAGGGAACAGGCCTAGGCTACTTTGGTCACCTAAGAAGTGCCAAAGATGACTTTGAATGCATAATACCTCCACAGTTTTATTTTTCTAAACAAAAACATAGCTGAATGATTATATTGGATAACTTAATAGCTAGCGTGACAATAAAGGTATTTTTAAAAAATAAACCTAACAGAAGTTAACATTATAGTAAATAAGAGACCTAGATCTTTAAGATGTGACAAGTCTTTGTCCTCTGTTTTAACAATTCAATAGCATGACAAAGTTAGTTTAAGGGCTCAGAATATTCTGACAAGAACCTCCACTCTCTGAGCAGATTATACAAAAGTAAAAAACAGCCTTTTAAAACCAATTTTTTAAGGCAGACTGAATATTCCAAAGCCAATTTTAAGCTTCCAGGCCCCAAATCTTAATCATACATACATTTATTTTGCTTATTAATTTTAATACGCATTAATATATATATATATGACCTGAAACACATAGAAATATACATATAGCTATAAAGCAATATCATGTTTAGCTTTCCACCATAAGTTAAAATATAATGAACTTTGTCATCATATTACAAGATCTCATTTATGCCACATTGAGCTTACCTTCTCAATTCAAGCTTTACAAAAACAAGTCAAAACTGTGCTAGTTGACTCTGTCCCTTTGCATTATAAGTTTAAAATTTTTTTTTGAAACTTTATGGGTAACCAAAGATTTCTCATAAATACACCCAACTTGATATTATCCTAAAGTCTTCAAGCCATTTAAGTGCACTACAGAGTAGCACAATCATTTGAGATATTAAAAGGTTCTCAAAAAGATGACATCAAATAGTTGTAAAAGAGTACAAGTGAACTAAGTACAAACAATTGGCAAAACGGTCTCAAGTTAAAAAACACCAATCCTTTTTTTAATAATAAAGTCATCATTTGTTGTAATTCAACTTAACTAAACACATACTTGCAATCTTCATAACCTGAAATATTTTGTGGAAAAAAATGATACCTTACTTGACCCATGACCGTATGAAAAAATTTAGAAAGGTTATTAATTAGGTTTTTCCTGAGAAAAACCAAGTCTCACATCAAATTCAATAAAAAAATCAAGCAAATCTGATGCTTTTTATTTGTATTACATCTCACAGGTGATAGAATCAGGGAAAATTGCTGTTTATCAAACAAATCTCATCAGTTCACCGATTTACCTTGATTATGAGTAATGTGTAAACCTGGATCGATGTATAATTTTCTATTAAGTTCTCTGGTTAAAAATCAGTTTAAAAAGTTTCATTAATGCATTTTTGATGACTAATTGCTCACTGAACACTCATTTGTATTCCTTTTTCTTCCCTTTAATGGTGGGTATCTACATAGTAAGAACAAATGATGGGTTTCTATGATAAATTCATCTTATAAAGTGTCCTTAAAAGCCCTCCACTGATACATAGAGCTGTAAACACAGACAGACCCATGAAATACTTAGTCACTTTTTCTCTGGGAAGGAAAACTTTCTCAGTTGGACACAGAAACCTGGTAGCAACTTTAGCCTTTGTTCAAAAGCAAATACAAATACAGATATTTAAAAACCAACCCTTGTGAAGAAAATAAACAAAACTGAACTGCAAGTGATCAGATCCCTGTGAGTAGATAACTGCTTACCCTGATCATTTTAAATTTTACCAGTGTTCATCCATATGGCAGACTGTTATAGGCCACTACTTTCTCTCCCTTTCACCTAGGGAGTTTCATTGCCTCAACCCACAACATACCTTATCAAAAGTAACCCTGACACATGCCTTCAATTCCATTACTCAGCTTCACCTTCTTGAAAGCTGACAAACTTTCAGACACCCATAATGACGCTGCAGCTAGACCTCCATACCCAGGCTTCCAGTCCCTACATCTCATGAGGTCTACCAGATGATTGCCCTGGAGATGCCCTCTGGGGCCCAGGCTGAATTTTTCACACAGTTGTGCTAAAAGATAATAACCAGCTTTTACCATTTCTAACTGGCCTGCAGTAATGACTGATGTAACAATATTTTTTAATTTTTGAAAAACAAACATGTCGTCACCACAAGAGACACATATAAAATGCTACGCCACTTAAACATGAAATGTCAGAAGAGGCCCATTGTCCATATCTAAGCAGAAACTCATCAGTCCATTCAGTAGTTCTGGAAAAAGGTTAGTGACACCAAAAAGATGCTGAAAGTAAAGGTGACATTCTTTGATCCAGCAGCTGCTCTCTGATCTACTGGGTCCTTGTAGGTAAGCACATCTCAGCAGATTCCCTGAAACTTTTAACACAAAATTCTGACTTTGTTAAAACCATAAATCTCATAGAAATAGATGGTGAGGTTTGTCTGCCAAGGTTTTATTTAACTCATTTTTCTGAGAACGAGCCAAATAACACAGCTGATAAATTGATGATATGAGGGATTTGGATTTGTATAGTCAATAAAAGAATGCTGAAATAACATCACTAAACTCTTACCTCTGGGATTATTTTTTCTATTAGACAAAAAAGAAAGAAAGAGAAAGAAAGAAGACAAAGAAAGAAATTACATCTATTAGTTTTCTATATGTTAACTTCTAATTTAACACAATTGGGAAATATCTGGGTCCTAATAATTAGTAAAACTAAGTTACATTGCCAAGAGAGTTATATAAACCTCAGGCAAAATTATTAAAAAATGCTCCAGTATTTGAAAGTCACACAATCATTCCTTTGCCTTATTTTCAAGTTTTGGATTATTATTTCTGAATAGAGGTTAGATAAAAGATCCCAGTATCAGGAGAAAAGAGAATGGAAAAGTCCCCTAAGAGAACCTAAGAAGCACAGGGGTAAGAGAATTGGGACTTTTTCATGGCATGGGAACTTAGTATACTGAATTAGTACCTCACTTGAGGATGAATAAGTGAATTTTACCAAAATAGTTAAAAATATATCTAAGTAATGGTAGACAATTCCCAAGCACTTTATTTATCAGAGTGTGTTTTCCTTGCATTGAAATTCACCTTTCCTTGATCAGTTTTTCCCATTCTGCCAGTCCATTGGCGTGAGGAGGAATCTTGTTTATAGTAAAGCCAGGAAAGCGAATGTGATTAAATTTTAATACAAATTGCTGAAAACTACAAGGAAGAGCTCAGCATACTAGAAAAACTAAATTTTAAATATTTTTTAGCAAGCTATAAATGTTAAATGTTGATTTAATTCAATTGGTACAGTTAACTTAAAAGGAAAAACAAGTCAAATAGTATTTCTTAAAGATTAATATATAATAAATTTTAAGATCCTTGAGAACAGTGACTACATGGTACCAGTGACTATTTTGTACTGCCACAGAATTTAACACCTCATAAGTGTTAAATAACTATTTATCAAATGAAACTGTAAAATTCATCAAATACTTACTGAGCAAATAACAAATGAATGAAATATTGACACAGTATATTTATGTCTCCCAGACTTGTAAGGCCTTCCTTCCTGCCATGATGGAAGCTAACCATGGTCACTTGGTCTGTATTTCAAGTGTAGCAGGACTAATTGGTATTAATGGACTAACAGGTGAGTATTTTACTATCGTGTGCCTTTATATTACCAGTCCATGGTACCCAGAAATTAGGACTCCTCCAAGGTATAGAAACACTTCCTGCAACAAGGGAAAATTTCTGGTATATTTGGCTCTATTCTTAACACCAGCATTCCTTTCCATTTTTTTATTTAAAATGGCAATGGTAGGGGAGATATTCTCTTTTTAAAAAACGAAGAGAAGAATGTAACTCTTGGCTCATTAGTCTTCTTGGATTAAGAGAAACTGAAATAATTTCCATCTTGTTGTTGGGTATATAATGTGGAGATATAGGAATAGAATGGCCACAAAAATGACTTCAACGGTGATGCTTTGTCCCCAAGGATAGATCAGAGAAAAGGAAATTTCATTTTTTAAAATAATTCCAGAAATTAACTTGTCAAATTCTATTACTAATAATTCTTCACTTTGTTTCAGATTATTGTTCAAGCAAATTTGCAGCTTTTGGCTTTGCTGAGTCTCTCTTCTTAGAATTAAAAATGATACAGAAAAGTAATATTAAAACCACTATTGTTTGTCCATATTTCATCAAAACTGGAATGTTTGATGGTGCTACAACCAAGTAAGTGAATTCTTATAGTAATCTTTGCTCTTATAATAATCTTTCAATATGTGTCAGCTGTCATCTTTTTGTTTTGAAGTTTTGAAATATGGACAGTAAAACAAAAGAAATAATTTGAATGCCTAATTTAGTGAAAGAAAAAAATTCAATATGTATTAAGTTAATGAATTTATTCAATTACGGACAATAAGATGGTTATAAAGTTTATGGTATGGTGAAAACTTAAACCTAAATTGCTAATCAGAAATTACAATCTAACAGAAAAATTGGTAGTGAGAAGCATTGTAGTATTGAGAAGATTATTTCTTTCCTAACAAGTATACTGAAGTAAAAATAATCCAAAAGGTAAAATATTTTGTAAGATTGATTAATATATGTGGGGAAGTATTGGGGAAGGTATTTTGATGTAAAGGTTACATTTGGCAGCACAGTCCAAACGAGGATGCAAATGAAACATGAGGGCTTTTACAGAAAGGAGACAATCAGTAGACTATATTGAAAAGTATAAAAATGATTTAGCATTAAAATTGCCAAAAGGGATTGGACATGATCTAAATGATGTGAATCAGCAATATTTACAGAAAAGAGGTAGCCAACAAAAAGGATGACTAGAAAGCAATAAGGCTATTTAGAGTCTAGTGCAACTATAAGTGAAATAGAAAGTGCTAAAACAGGAGGTGAAGAGTTGACATAATACAGAGGGGGAATATCTCTTTATTTAGCTGGTCATGATTAGCAAAGACAATCATTAAAAACTTTTAAAGATTGATCGAAGGGCATGAACAGATTGAGATGTATTTATGCAAGAAAATCTATGGAAATTCAGTAAGAACACTGGGAGGCAATGGCACTGGGGCTAGAGATTACACCTATCTACCTACTGTTCTGCCTTGCAGAATAACTCTTTCAGTGTGCTTGGCAACCAAGTAGCAGTTTCCATCTTCCCTAGCTCCCTGAGGTAAAAGAGCTATTCTGGCTATTTTGACAGCAAGTGAACATCAGAAGATCCCATTTTCTGTGGAAGGCCGACATTGTGTGGATAGACTCAGCCAAACAATATTTGTCCCTCTACCTCCAACTCCCACTAAGCAGGAAAGATGTGAGGAGAGGCTGTTGGTGAAGAGAGCAATTCCTCTTTCCAGAGCAGCTCTTTATTGTTGGAGAGCCACACCAGTAATTTCAGCAGCCAAGTGACAGGTCCCATCTCTCCTATCTTCTTAAGGTAGAAGACTTATTTTGGGTAGACTTACTAGACAGTAAACATTGGCAGACCCCCAACCTTTAAGGCTCTGCATTGTGGAAGACCCATACAGGGTGGTGGCAGCAGCCAGGTGGTAACACTACTTCCTGCCAACCCTCAGATCCTGCTCAATAGGGTCAATTCAGTTAAGAGTGAGTTTCTCATCATACCCAACTCCTGTTTCATAACACAGAGGTTCTGCCAGGTGAGGGTTAAAGTCAGCCTCAAACACTGGGGTCTCTCTGTCTCTGGTATGGGACCTAATTTCAAGTGCATAAGACCAGAGGTCAGAGCACTATAAGAAAATAGTGCAACCATTGTATATTAATTGTATATTAAGAGCTGGGTATGCTAGAAATAGAGGCAGATGAGCTAGAAACTTAAGAGAAGAGGTAATCAAAGATTGCCTGGCTAAAATCACAGTTCAGTTATCCTTAACAGTCAGGAAGATTGTATGCATGCCTAAGGTGGCATCCTCCAAGGAATGACATCTGAAGCTACACATTACAGGAGAGATAGACTTCACTAAACTAGTCCAGCCAAGTCACTAAATAAATAAGCAAGCAAAGAACCCTAACAACAAACTATATCGAGGACTATTATTCAAACTTGCTACAATGTTATCTAAAATGTCTACTTTTTAACAACGAAGTATAAGATATGCAAAGACACAAGCCATACATGGGAAAAATGTAAGCAATATAAATTACCTTCAAGGGGACCCAGATGTTGGATTTAGCAGACAAACTTCAAAGCAGCTATCATCAATACATTCAAAGATCTAAAAGAATCCATTTTTTAAAATGGAAAAAAAAGTATGACAATGTTTCATCAGCTATCAATAGATAGATAGAAATTATTTTTGGAATAAAAAAGAACCCAATGGAAACTTGACAGTGGAAAAGAACCAATATAAATTTGGGAGTGGAAAAGAAAAACAACTGAAAAGTGAACAGAGACTAAGAGAAATCTGGGACACCATAAATCATATCACCTAAAAAGGAGAGTAACAGAAAGAAATGAAAGGACGAAAAAAATATTCAAAGAAATAATGGCTGAAAACATACCGAATTTAATGAAAAAAAATTAACTTATATATTCAAGAAGCTAAATTTACTCCAAGTAGGATAAACATAGGAGGTTACATACAGAGACACATTGTATATTCAAATTGTTGAAAAATGAAAACAAAAAGAAAATCTTGAAAGGAACAAGAAGAAAAATGACTCATTATGTACAAGGGAGCCCAAATACAACAGATGATTTCTCAATAGAAGCAATAAAAGTCATAAGGCAGTAAAGTTATATATTCTAAGTGCTGGAAAAAAATTGTCAACAAGAACCTTATACCCAGCAAAACTATGCTGCAAAAAATTAAGGCAAAACAAGGCAAAAATGAAGTAAAAAATTAAGGGAAAATAAAAACTGAAAGAATTTGTTGCTAGCATTTCTCCTTATAAGAAATACTACAAGAAATTCTTCAGGCTGAAAGTAAGTGACACCAGAGAATAATTTGAATCCACATGAAGAAAAAGAGTGCCAGTAAAGGTAATAAAAGAGGTAATTTTAAAATAGGTAAATATGCATAAGTACATATTTCTTTCCTTTTCTTAACTGATTTTAAAATGAAATATATAAACAATATGGACATAATAGTATTATTAGGCCTATATCATATAGAAATGTATATTTTTAACAATATGTTTTTAACAATAAGATCACAAAGGAGAAGGAGGTGACAAATCTATAGTGAAGTAAGGAAATGACACCAGATGGTAACTCAAACTTGCAGGAAGAAATAAAGAAAATAAAAAATGGAGAAGATTGATATAACAAAGTCTATAAATATAGAGGATGCCAAAAAAAGCATATACATTTTAAGAAAGAAAAAAACTATTAAAATTGTAATACTCAATATATACCAATAACAAAAGATGAATACAAGTCACATATGACTTCTGCAATTAAAAGAGGTGCTCAAATGGTTATCATCAATGTCCAGACACTTCTGGTTATGGTAAACTACTGCTTGAGCAACATTGGCCAAAGTGTCCACTTGTATACATTTTTTGGCATCCCCGGTATATATTTTTTCTCCTTTCTTCTCTCAGTTTCTTTAAAAGATAAAATTTATAAAGTAATAATTAAAACAATGTATTGTTGGGTTTATTATATATATATATATATATATATTATGTATAACAGTAACACAAAAGTGGGAGAGATAATATAGCTAGTAGCAAAGGAGTAAAGTAAATCTAGTAAAGTTTTTGTATCTCACTGGTATTTAAGTAGTATAAATCTGAAGTCGTTTCTGATAGGTTAAGATGTACATTTATGCTCTAGAAAAACCTCTAATAACTCAAAAATTATAGTTTAAGAATCATTAAAGCATGCCCTATGAGCAAAAGGGCATAGAACACTATGAACTAAGTAGGCAAAATACACACCTATAGAACATTCCACCTAACAACAGTAGAACTCACCTTATTCCCACATACACATATACTATTCTCTAGGACAGACTATATGCCAGGCCATCAAACCACCACCAATAAATGTGAAAGGAATGAAATCATACAAAGCATGTTCTCTGACCAAAATGGGATGAAACTGGAAATCAACACCAGGAAAATTTTGAGATTTATCAGTATGTGGAAATATAAGATAGCAAAACTTATGGGATGCAGCTAAAGCAGTGTTTAGAGGGAAATTTATAGCTGTAAATGACTACATTAAGAAAAGAAGAAAAATCTTGAATGAGTAACAAATATTCCACCTTAATAAACCATAAAATACAGAAGTACATTAAATCCAAAGCAAGCAGAAATAATAAAATTTGTAGCAGAAATATATGAAATAGAGAACGAGAAAGTCAATGAAACCAAAAGTTGGTTCTTTGAAAAGATAACAAAATTAATGAAACCTTAGATTGACTGACCAAAGAAAGAGAAAAGAGAGAAGATTCAAAGTACTAAAATCAGGAATAAAGGAAAGGTCATCACTTCTGACAGAAAGAAAAAAAAATCATAAGAAAATACTAAGTACAACCACATAACAACAAATTAGATAATTCAGATGACACAAACTAACAAATCTGACTTAAGAGGAAATAAAAAATACCAAATTGAGTTAAATAAGAGATTGAATTAGTAATCTATAAAACTCTCCACAAGGAAAATCTCAGGTCAAGATGGCTTCACTGGTAAATTCTATCAAACATTTAAATAAGAATTAATACCAAACTTTCAAAAATGTTTCCAAAACTAAAACAGGACTTAACACTCCCCAACTCACTCTATGAAGCTAGTATCACCTTGATACTAAAATCAAACAGACATCACATGAAAATAAAACTAAAGATCAATGCCCCTTATGAATATAAATATAAATATCCTCAACAAAATACTAGAAATTGAATCCAGCAACATATAATAGTGATAATACACCATAACCAAGTGGAATTTATCCTGAGAATTTTGCAAGGTTGGGTTAACATGAAAATAATTTAATGTAACACATCGCATCAATAGAATAAAGAATAAATGCCACATGATCACCTCAATAGACACAGAAAAGGCATATGATAATCTAACACTTTCATGATAAAAACACCCAAGATAGTAGGAATAGAGGGAACTTCTACAACCTGATAAGGAGCAAAAAAAAACGAACAAAAACCTACAGCTAACATCATACTTAATAATGAAAGACTGAATGTTTTTACCCTAAGATCAAGAACAAGACAAGGATGTCTGCT